AGAATGTCTATGAGTCACTAGAAATTCAAAAGCTAAAATGCAACTATATTAGGAAGATTTAAGTAATACCCAGAAATTAACGGAGGACAACCCAACAATAAAAATAAAAATGAGAAAACACTTAAGCAAGACACAAAAACAGATATCCAGTTCACCAATAGCAAATAGTAGGACAAATGAGGATGAAAAGTCTGATAGTGAACCAACAGGACTCCCTGGACCCATAGCACAGGAGGTAACAAAATTGATCAATCAGGCTCTAGAAAAATTCAAATCAGAAATAATTTCCCAGCTAGCCAGAGAGATGATGAGCAAAATAGAAGTCATGATTCGAGACTCTAGAGCAGAAACTGAGAAAAAAATAGATGAGCTCAAGACTGTGATAGAAGCCATGAAGACTCAGCATAAGAAAGACATGGAAACAATGAATGCCCAACAGAGGAAAGAAATGGAATCCATAAAACAGATTCAAACAGATATCCAGGAGATTAAAAACTCTATTGAAAGTGTACGAAACAGAATAAAAGATTGCGAAGATAGAATTTCAGATATAGAAGATAGGATAGCAGTCAGTGACCGTGAAAAAAGAGGTCTATTAAAAACAGTAAGGGATCATGAGAAATCAATCCAACAACTCCTAGACGATACAAAGAAAAATAACATAAGACTGATAGGAATTCATGAAAAAACAGGAGAAAACACAAATGATATAAAAAAGCTCTTCACAGAATTAATGACAGAAAACTTCCCAAACAGAAGGGAAGAATTAGACATACAGATAAGTGAGGCATATAGAACCCCAACTAGCCACGATCAAAAAAAATCTACACCTAGACATATAATAATCAAGATTCCAGAAATCCAACAGAAAAACAAAATACTACAAGCAGTAAGAGAAAAGAAACAAATCACATGCAAAGGGAAGCCCATTAGAATCACAGCAGACTTTTCAACACAAACCCTTAGGTCAAGGAGAGCCTGGAGTGAGGTATTCCAAGTCCTAAAAGAAAAGAATCTCCAATCTAGACTGATGTATCCTGCAAAACTCTCTTTCAAAACAGATGGGGAAATAAGATACTTCCACGACAAAGAGCACCTGAGAAATTTCATGAACACCAAACCAGCACTACAAGGAATTCTAAACAATGTCTTAGAAAAGGACAATGAAATTCACAATAACATGAGGCCCAACAGACCAAATCAAATAGGTAAGGCAAGAAACTAAAAGGAGATGGGAGAAAAAGTAAAAAGAGTCAACAAAAGGACAAAAACATGACAAGAATAAGTCAAAATATATCAGTTATAACCATCAATGTTAATGGCCTCAATTCACCAATCAAGAGAAACAGATTGGCAGAATGGATTAAGAAGCAAAATCCAACAATATGTTGTATACAAGAAACACACCTAGTACAAAAGGAAGTCCATAGACTGAAAGTAAAAGGATGGAAAACAATTCTCCATGCATCAGGAGCCCAGAAACAAGCAGGGGTTGCAATCTTATTCTCAGATA